AACACAAAATCGTCCCCTAGAGGCCAATTTCTTTCAAAACTCTTACAGACCTCTAGGACCATGAGTCGAATATGCCCACGAGTTTCGTTCCAATCACTCATCGTTAACCTAGTTTAATGGCTGCTCAATATTTATTAGCTAATGGCAGCCATGTTTTTTGAGATATGCCAATGTATGTTATGACAACTTGGTCAAAGACACTGCATGCCAAATTTCAAGCTGATTTTACCAATGATTTTACCAATGAGCAGGCCAATCATATGATATGTATTTTGTGTGGCTGTGTAAAAATTTATCTTAAATCTTAAATTTTTTAAGATTAAAGTCAATTTATGGTTTTTAAACTCTAAAGCGCCAACATGTGGCCAAAGTCTGCACGTTTGGCACTGTGACCTCAAATTGACCTTACACAAGTTTGTATCATATTTGGTGATAATAACTTATTCTGTTCAAAAGTTATAGCTACAATAAGCATTTAGCTTCAATTAACATTGAACATTTTTGCCTACTGTTTCGTGCAGGAATCAAAATGTCAAATTTTTTTTTTATAATTATTGATATTCAGTGTCCAAAGAACATTTCACAGCTGTTTTGGTTCAGATTGGGCAAAAATACTAGGACTAGTTCCCAAAAGTAGGTTTTGGACAAATCGCGATGTAGCATAAAAACTTTCCAACGTACGGAAAAAAAAAAATCGGGGAGTGACTTTTGTTTGGGCTGACCCAGGGATTACAAATATGTAGGTTTTATGAGTCTACGACAAACGGTGTACAAATGGCGGCCGAAAATGTCCAAAATATTGTTTTTTGGCGCCATAGCGCCACCTATGGTCCGATTTGGCTGATTTTTGTTGAGCTTGTAGTGTTCCGGAGTACAACTATCTGACCAAGTTTCAGCTCTCTAGGCCTTACGGTTTAGTCTGTGCAATAGTAACTTTGGCAGAAAAAAAACAAAATAATAAGAAGAGCAAAAATGAACAAAAACAATAGGGTTTCAGCGCTTCGTGCTCAAACCCCTAAAAATTAACAAAAACAATAGGGTTTCAGCGTTTCGCGCTTAAACCCCTAAAAAAATCTTAACAAAAACAATATGGTTTCAGCATTTCGCCCTTGAACTCTTTCAATTTTCTTGAACCCTAGAATTTTCTATAGTCATTAAAAATGCCAGGAGTAGGGGTCTGACCAGTCTCTAGGGGTCTGGACTCCAAGGACTACCCAAACATTCTGCTTAAACATGTGCACCTAATGGTTCAAACATTGTATCCTCGCATGTAATCAGGATACTAATGCACCAATACATATGGCAAGACTGGTGAGAGTGGTTTGATAAACATAAGTCAAGTTAAACATCTCCCATGGTCTGCACAATCACCAGATCTAAATATTAAAGAGCCCATATTACACATGAAATGGGGTCATATCTTGGTTGTAAGGGTCTCCAACAACAGTTTAATATGCATGCAAGGTCAAACAACACTTTCATGGTCTTATAATCTGCATTTATTTTTACCTAGTTATCCCAGCGACTCCTGTATGAATCGTCCAGTGATTCATTTGTTCCCAAACCCCTCCTTAGCGCGAAGCTAATCTGCGCTGATTGGACCAATGACAGTCTGTTGCGATTGGTCGACTGCCTTCAGTCAGAGAGTGAAATGCCAAACAGCTAATCAGCAATATAAAAGTAATCACAGTTCATACACGCTCGATAGTGTAGGCGTGGATTTTAGCAGCCAGTGGGTCAATGTAAATACAGACTATGGACTTGAAAATACAGACGACTAACTATTTTATTGAGCAAAAACTCCAAAAACAGTTGAGGAGATCTCCTAGCTTCTCACTCTGCTCTTTTCACAGACACACACACACACACACACACACACACACACACACACACACACACACACACACACACACACACACACACGCACGCACGCACTTAACCCTGCTCCGCGCGCACGCACGCACGCACGCACGCACGCACGCACGCACGCACGCACGCACGCACGCACACACCTCCGGACGACAGCGCACGCGCGCACACGCACACACAGACACACATACTACTCCTCGTCCACGGAGCTCCGTTAACAAAGCAGCACGCGTCGCGTTTTTAACGTGACTTTGCAAGCGATAAGACAATATAGCCAGTTAACCTGATACCAGTACACGCGGTTACAAGTAACAAATCACAACTAAATACATTTGCAAGCTAGAGTCAACGAAGCAACTTTAATCGCACGTACTTACACTTGAGAAATGGAGGAAGAAAAATCCATCCTGACATCCAGCAGTAAGTTACTCTTTACTGATCCTTCCTTTAACAAACGCTGATGAAGTATTCTTTGTAGCATGTAGTTTCCAGAAGTTTCCAGTAGTTTCCAACTGCTTGGCTATAATGCTGATGTTTCTGCTTTGGGTAGAGACTCAATATATCCATCTGCAGTGTGACTTCAATCGACCGGCATGTTTGTGTGTGTGTGTGTCTGGGTTTCTGCGTCAGAGGGCGGGGCCTAAGGTTTGAAATCTCCCGGGTTTGCGCGTGCACGTGAAAAACTTGGTTTCGTTCGTATGTCATGGCGAAACACCTAATGAATCGGTATCAAGGCGACTCGTTTGAAGCACTATGAGTAGACTCTTTTATAGATGAATCAACAGTTTTAAACACTGTACACTAACAGATTTAAGCCTTAGCTGGATACTTCACTTCACTTAGAGCTGTGTCACACACTACATGGAGGGGAATTTTCAAAAACCCATAATATGGGCTCTTTAATAATGCACTTTGGGGTGTTTTGACAGAGTGAATCAGGAAAAATTTTCCTCCACCAACATCACCAACATTAGCTTATCTGGATTTGGAAAGGACAGTGAAGGTGGACTCAGAGAACAATACATGTTTCACATAGTCCAAAACCCAATATTTTTGCTGCAGGCAGCATTGAAACCAGTATTTGGCTTTGGCATGAGTCATGGTTATCTACAGCAGTCTAGCCATGTATATTGACCCTGTAGAGCTCCTGATGAACGGTATTGGTGAAAACAGGAGAGTTGAGTTGCACATTTAATTATGCAGCGAGTTGAACAGCTGTGGTTTGTTATTTGGATACAATCCGGGTTAGCACCTGACTTCCGTTTCAAACAGCTTCCTCTTCTGCCCTCAGTTACTTCTGTTGGATGTGCTCTTACTGATGGAATGTGCAATCAATGAAGATTGGCCATCAGGATAAGAAAGGTTTGCCATGAAACCTACATTAAATTGGCCAGTGTTTCAGTTCCTTTGTCCAGCCCCTCAATATTTATTCTAGAATCTATATTCCATGGTATATCACTATTATAATATTATATTATAGTTTAATGGTACACTGGAGTCATGGTTCAGTATGCACCTTGGCGTTGGGTGCTTTACAGTACAAATGAAATAACATGTCTCCAGTACCTGATTTTTCTGTTTTTTTTAACAGACAGAAGTGTTCTACAGAACTGAAGAGCTTCTTGTGATGCAAAAGTACAAAATAAACAAGAATGAAAAATAAAACTTTAAAATTAGGAAACGGTGTATTAAACTTTCAAAGATTAAGGTCTGCCCTCTCTTAAAACAACAGAAAAACAATAATTGTGTACTAAATTTAAGATTCAGAAAGCTTCAAAACTGAAATCTCTTTTTATGTAAATGCTAGAACTGTCCATCCATAACAGCAGGTGCAGCAGGAAAAAAAAAACTGTTCAATAAGGTGTATGTGTGTAGAGAAGGTCACTCATTTACAGACTGACTTGTGTATTTACAAGATGAAATAGTATCTTATATTTCCATTGTTTGATAGATGTGCATGACCGTTATATACTTGCGTCTTTTGCAGCAGTTTTTTTAGATGCTCTGTGAAGATAGAAATATTTCTACTTTGAGGTTGCAAGTCGGCATGACAACTGAACCACTCCTGAGCACTGCATCTCACATTTTAGGAAAAAGATATGTGTGTTTTGTGAATGGTTCCTCAGTTGTTGCACCGCTGTGGTCTTTTCTGTCTCCTTTCAGTGACTGCACACCTAAGGTGTATTCTTCATATATGAATTACTCAAATAGCTGGATTTGGTAATTGACTATTTGACAGGATGCATGATTGTTTTTCTTCAAAACACATTCGAGAGTTGTCATAGCAACAAGTATCGTAGGCCAAACATGCTCTGGAGCAGGCTTATTGCATATAAACAGGATTGTGTCATTTGAATCAAAGGTGAGACAACGTATGTACCGAATACTGATATTTTCTTACAGTAGTAATAATTATATATATATATATATATATATATATATATATATATATATATATATATATATATATATATATATATATATATAAACTGCAACTACGTTATTTTTATTAAAGCGTTCAATATTTAAAATTAAATATTTAAATTTGTCAATAGTGGTGAATCCGTTCAGTAAAAGATTTGTCAGTGTGTCACTGCATCATAAAACGACCTCAACCATGTCTAGTGCGAGTACATGCTTATGTTAGTTTCGTTGTCAATGATACTAGAAATTAATGCACTTTTCGTCAGTCGTTGTTGCTTCTTTATATAATCTTACTAACTTTTCATTTAAAAGAAAAAAAATTTCTTGGGGTGGGAATGATTACATCTAAAGTCTAAATTACAGATGTCATAAATCAGACCTCTAGCATTACTCAAGATAACGATTATTCGTTTCATTTAAATGATGATCGATCATGGGACATGTAGAAATTGACATCTCTAGTTCAGAGGCAGAAATGGCTGATGTTTGTTACATGAGGTATGTCTACAAATGCATGTTAATGGACTTTTACTCATATTTCAAAAATGAAGTGCATTAGCGTTTAATGTGCATGCTGGTTTTTCAAGACCCCTAAAATAATATGAAAACAGGGAAATGGAAGAAGGCCCCTCACCCAACAAACATCAGCGGTGGTCAACACCCTTGCCACTGCAGTGATCAAGACTAAAAATGCCAAATCAGTTTACCTCAATTTCTTCCAAGATGTCACCAAGTTCAGCTTGCTGAGACAGACGAGCTGCAGTCTGCAGTGCCAGAATGATTCTGTCAGAAGAGAAAATTAGTTATGTCTCAAAAAACGTATAAAAAAAAAAAAAGAAATTGTAGAAAATATACATACGCTAAGACATTGTCTTCTTTGGAGATACGAGATTTAAGGGCACTGACTACTTCCTGTGAGGCCAGAGGTAATCCAAGAGAGCTGAGAGCACTCACAGAGTGATGGATCTGAGAGACAGTGGAGTCCTCACTCACTGTGGCCAACAACAAATCACGCGTGTCATTTGACACAAGAATCTGTCAGGATCAAAATACCGCAAAAAAAGTTACCACAAGACATTATACATTAAGAGCATTTCACTTGGTATCATTAGTGAAAAGTCCATGCCAGTCCTGTTGTCCAAGCACAAGATACATTCACACAACTAAAAGCATCACAGAATTTTTTTTCACAGTATTAAGTATGAATAAAGCATCATGACTATTATTAATAACAAGTATTATTGATAGCATTATTATGTCTAAGATACTTGACTATATTATGAAAAGGTTTACTTTGGGCTTTTATTAAAAACAAAACCCACAAACATGAAGCTAATCAAAAATGATAAACAAAGAAGTTCACTATACTGTATCTATTGTCCTTAGCTATAGTGATTCAAGCTAGCCTTATTGTGCTTTGATGAACACACAAGCATAAAAAGTACCAAACGTCCTTAACAACAATTTCTTTGTCTTTAACAATTTTAAAGTGTCAATGTTTCAAGGGTTAAATGCACTTTTAATGGAGAAACATTTATCCTCATTTAGGTTTCAAAAATTAAGGACCTGGGAATCCTATACACAGATGGCTCATACACTCAAGCTGTAAAACGTCAACACAAATATTTGTTAACAAGCAGGAAAAAAAAGGAAAGAGGTTATGTATCTTACCTCACATCCAGTAAGAGCTTGGCTAGATTCTGCTGCATAAAACAGTGACTCGACACTAGAGGGGTCAAGGTTTGACTTGATAAATCTGCATGTCTCCTAAAACAAAGAAGAAATACAAAACTTGATGTGAATATTCACAAAAATTAAAGTAAACCTTTTACTAAACACAACAGATTGTCAATTCTTACATCTGCATCTGCAACAAAGATCCCCAGCTTCCTAAGTCCAACAACAGAGTAATAGGCAGACTTGAGATCAGTGAGGGGCTGGCTCAATACAGCCTGCAGTCTGGCCACATCAGTGGTGGTCAGATGATGGGATGGGGTTAGAGTCTGGGTCTCAATAACCAAGGACAGGACCAACACGCTGAACACACCTACAAATATATAACATAAATTTAATGCAGTTCATATGATAGATCAGAATTTTTTTTTTATCAAAAACCAATTAAGCGGATATTTAAAGGATAAGTTATGCTTTGCGCTGTGAGACATGAGTTCAGGAATTTATGCCTTATTTACACTAGCAGCGACTTTGTAGCTTCCTGTTGCTCTAGGCGGCAACCTGCTTCAAATACAGGTCTGTGTAGTTCTATACAGCACAATTACAACCAGTCTTTGAGCGAGCTGAGAGAGAATCACATGAGCTCTATTGGTGCTCCTATTGGCTGTCGCTCAAGAAAGTCACTCTTCATTTGCTTAAAGTAACCAATGGTCGCTCACTAACTTAGACGGAGGTCGTCGAAAGTTGTTACTCTCCATTGCAAACAAACAGTGGCTTGTCCATAGTGTAAATGAGGCTTTATGGATTCACTCTCTTGACATTGCATATTGGGGGCTCATAAAACCCTGTTATGGCGGACCTTCTTGGCTATATCCAAGGGTACTGCCGATAATCCGCGGGTTAGTTAATCAAAAATAGGATGCATGATTTATTTATTATGGGAGAAAATCATTTGCTATGCAAACCTTATCTACATAAGCTATCTTGGGAGACTGGCACGAATATGCAGACTTTTAAAAAAAAATTTCCCTCACAGCTAGACATTTCCAGAGCATGTCCATTTTCACCATGACTTTCTGAGTTCTCTAATCCTTCTGACAGAGTTTGTTCTTCCGAGGAAACCTGGGAACACATTCAGTGTTGTGAATATTTTGTAAAGCCCGTCCTGCTCATTATGGTCAAATGACTTGATTAAACAAATGAAAGTGAAACTAATCGGCGCAATGAACTGTCATTAAAAATTAAAACAGTTTAATATAGGCGACTAGAACTTTATTTATATTACTTTTATTGTTTAACAAACCAGTGTGTTATCGGACTTGTTTTGAAGCACTTAAACTCTGATGTTATTCATTCTACTTCTAGTTTATTTTGTAGATAACTGACCAACAAAAACACATTAAGATCAACATATGATACATAAATAATCCACAGATAAGAATAGTGAGAAAACGTTTTTTTCTCAGTGTTGCAACTTGTTGGCAAGTGCAGTCACACACAGTGCTGCAGCAGCAAAGGCCACCATTTCATTAAAATAAAACATTGCGCTTTACGCAATATCCACCAGGTGGCGCAAGGAACAATCGCTTTTCCATTGTCGGGCCAGTGCAAGTATTCTCCTTGATGTTTCAATAACGCATACTAATCTTTACACTACATTAAAGACACAGCAGCCAGTAACTTTTAGTTGTTGAGTTTGTCACATTTAAAAGGCGTGTTTGAAACATGCATGTTTAGATGCATTTATTTGTGTGAGAGAGACCAGGCGAAAGAGCTCTCGTTGATGCTTCGTTGATGCTGTGAGTGGCTGGGTTTCATTTTTCCTATTTTAAAGATAATTAATATATTTTTGTATTCACATATGAATACAACAAAAAGACATAAAACTTTACAGAGTACGTATCCACTTTTGTAGGCTCAACACAATTTCATTAATCTAGATAAAATAGCCTATAAGCTATATCGAAATAATTTAAAGAACTAATTAAATCAAGTCTTGAAATCTACATAAAGTAAAAAATAGTGGTAATACTATTGCTCAAGTTTATATGTACATGCGAGTGTAGGTGTGTCTGTCATCCACATGCTCTATTAATGTTGTATATGCAGTTTTACATCCACAAACGAATGGCTTTCGACCTGAGTTTATGAATTTAAGATTTGCACAAACAAAACATCTTTGTGAAAAAAAAGAAAATTATGTTTTGCAGTCATGCATCTTAATTTATGTGTGCGAAAAAGAAGTGTGTGTGTGTGTGTGTGTGTGTGTGCATGTGTGTGAATTTACTTGTTTGAATCTATACTGTCAGCTTTGTTTGAACTTTAAGACTTTCTTTACACCATTTTTAAGCTTTTCAGGAATAAACACAAACAACTTTACACGGAAAAGCCATAATGTTCTTATCCAATATAGATAGATGTAGGAAATGTGCTAATTCGTATCTTTCTTATTTTATTAAAAAAACATGCAAACATACTGTGTCGTATTAGCGACAACATGTTTGAAAATAAAATACTGTATTTTTAAAAATACTGCAAAATACTTTACATGGGAGTATAAAATTTCTTCACTAGCCATCTATCAAAAGGCAAATTCGATAGATATTAGTGAAGTAAACAATGACTGACAGCAACAGCGTTTCACGAAGCAAGTTTAAATCAGCTTCTCTGCCAGGTCATTAACCTCTACTCCTGTACAAATATTTGTTTCTCTTTCATTTTAGTACACATTTTATACACATTTCATACAAAGGTCCAGTCTTGAAAATGTTCTCTTTATTTAAATTAAGATGCATAAATGCAAAACATATTAGTTTTCATGAAAATGTTTATGTTTTCACAAATCTTAAATTCATACTCAGGTGAAAGCCATTCGTTTGTGGATGTAAAACTGTATATACAACATTAATAGAGCACGTGGATGAGAGCGTGAATTTGCAAATAATATTGATATTAATTTCATCCCTTATCTATGTATGTCAGGGCTCGAAATTGCGACCATTTTGGTCGCATTTGCGCCCGAAATTTCATCAATGCGACCTCATAATATATTTGGGAGCATTTCTGCGACTGAATATAATGGTTGTAGTGAAATGATTTTTTCTAAAAACGTGCTAAATCGGTCTTCCTTGCCGTTCATATTAGCTGTCAATCATTTAAGTCTTTCCGCTGTTAGATGACAGGGAGCTGTTGTTACTGCGGGAAATACAAACACCTGAAGAGTGAAAAGTACTCAGATTTGCAAACCCCACCGAAAGTTACAACGTAACGGCGCCAATGACAGCGATCATGACATGTGGTGAAGGTTGATCTGTCAGCCAAGATCATTCGAGTGTTTTCAGAGGAGGTGCCCGAATCTCGATGCGTTGCATTCACTAGGTGTTCAGCGAAAATTTCCGCTAGAAATGTTAAATCTAACACTGTACACGTCATCGCCAAAGAGGCTCGCTTTAAACTTAAATCTTAAATGGAATCTGCGACTCATAACAAAGAGGGGTATTGCTGCATGCTCATAAATTGATGCGGCTGACTCGTCTGCTTTCCACAAACACAGGAAAATGAAAATCGGTAATCGGTAAAAATAATAAATATAAATAATATAAACATAAAAACAAAATAAATATTTCTTACTGCAATGCTTTAATTTAGTTTGATGCAAACCATATTTTTCATAAAGTAACAGACTTTTTTTAGCAGATAACTCGCATTCATGCACATTCAAGGCAGCATCATATTAAGAAATGTAATTTATTGTTAGTATTATTGTCATTTTTGTCATCAATATTTAATAATTATTAGACATGCATTTTGGATTTATTGCATGCAAATATCAATAAGTCATCACAGCATTAGTTAGATAGTTGTTTCTGGTTTTTGTAAGTCCTAATTTATGTTGTTTTCAAATACAATAAATCCTTTAAAATACAATTTGCAATGGTGCTCATTTATTTTTGCTGGGTGCTCCTAAATTTTTTCTGGTGCTCCTAAATATTTTAAGTTGGGAGCACCGCCGCTACCAAGTGAAAAATTTAATTTCGAGCCCTGTATGTTAATGTGGGTGTTTATGTATAAGTGTGTACAGGTATGTTTGCATGCAGCAAGTTTGTGTATGTGCATGTGTTAATGTGAGTGTTTATGCAAAGATCGAGTTTATATGTACTTTATGTGCATGTATTTATATGCATGTATGTGGGTGTATGCATGCATCAAGTTTATATGTATATACACATGTTTCATATATTATTTTAAACATCAAATAGTATGTGTATATGCGAGTAATTTATAGGTTTATATGAACGTGTTTTTGTAAGTGTTGATAAGTGAAGTTGATTTAAATACTACATGGCGCCTCATACAGAAACTGTGAAGCGCACAGCTACTAGCCGCATTTCCACTATCGGGCCAGGCCGGGCCAATCGCCCGGGAGGTTGAGCAGTGAGGCCGAAATCATGTCACGTTTCTACTGTCGGGCTGGTCACGCAAACCCCATCCCCAGAACATCCCCCGAATAGAACATCACTCAACCCGCCCACTTCAGCGGGAATCAGGCAGATAAAGCACACCACATTATCACGAAACAATTAAAATTATGACAACCAAAACAAACAAATGACACGTTACTGTACAGCAGTACAATGTATGTCTATACGCACATGCCTGTGTTCTCATTCATCATATTCATTCACTCGCCGACCGACTGTTGGCATCGAAATCCAGTGGTCTTGCCACCATCGGAGGGACCCAGCGCAGGGAGCGCAAACATCCATAATATAAAACCACATATATAAAATTCTCTGTTAATAACTCGATATAAAATGTATTTTATAACATCCTCAGTTAGACAGACACTGTCCAACATTCATCCCAAATTTTTTATATTAACAGATGTGTGTGTGTTGAGCATCAGTTAAAACAATGTTAGCACCTGTCAGGTTTATTGTGGGGAAAACTGGATAATTTTGAGCTTTTGTCAGCTAATTTCAGCTTCCCGGTTTAAAATAATTTTTGGGGCGGGATCAAAATCGGCGACGTAGCGCAGCACTGCAAGTGCAATGATGACGCGTCGGTTTCTCATTATTATTCATAGCGGAGTTTTCTTATCCTATGAGAAGAGCCGGCTGCTTAATTATTCATGAGACCTGCCAGACCTGCCAGTGTCAAGCCCGAGCTGAGAGACACGGAAACCACGGCACAGCATTTAGCCGTTCATGACGGCTCATATGCGTTTGTTTCCATCATCCACAGGGTTTGTTGCATGTTTTCCCCCGCGATCTTGTCAGGGCCGATCATACAGCAAAGCTGTGTGCGTGCTGCTAGCATTTTTGTCGGGAGAGCAGCACAAGAATTAGAGAATGGCGGACGCTTATCAGGAGT